GGTTTATCATCCCGCTGTGTTTGTCTATTGCGTTTGTGTAGTAATATATGAAATATGAGTAGGCAGGTTTTACAACTAAGATTTGATATTTAGTTTTATACTTCAGTCAGATTATTGAGTTAGGGATATCCAGACATGTATGCATTACTTTTCAAAAGACTTGCTTTGAAGTGATAATGTAAAATCGGGCTATATCTTGTAATTTTGGTCACTAAACGTGTGCTCTACTTTTTTTAGATCCAAGAGAATTACCACATCCAGTTTTACTCCATATTTCAACTACATTTCAAAGACTATGTGCACCGTTCGCTGACTTCACAATGAGTATTTGATGTTGCGATCATAATACCTTATTGAGACTGATATATAATCCTTCATTTTATTTACTGGCTATATCTGTTTTCTGACATCATTTAAAGGGTATATATGATAAGCATAGCCAATATACATTAACAATGTTTTCGATATATTATAAACGACAAGGACATGCTCACCAATTTGCACGTGCTGATGGATGCTGAGCAACTACTACTGTGTGACATATTATGCATTTACACCAAATCCCTATGCCCTAGTGTTGAAGGATGACCAAACTCTCCATAAAAACAGATAATTTATTTTGACCATTTGTTTAACATTAAAATCACAATCCTACTAACAATATATTTTACTATAACAAACAGTAGTAGGTTAACACAAACTTTGTTTTGATTTCTAAAGATCATTTAAATGTCACACAGAATCAAATGGAGAACATATATCAGGTCTTAATCATAACCAGCACACTATAAAGACAAAAGCTGCAAAAAAGGAGACACCACAATCACAAACGGAAATATTTCCCCATCATGATTAATAATACAAGCTTCCCATTGTTTTGATTTTTAAAATGACATAATATTTCTTCACCTTGAAACTTTTCTTATATCTTTTTGTAATGACTAGGATATACTTACTATTAGTTTTTCCAATACGGATATGTGCAGGTATAGGTGTCCACCTGACATATCTAGCCTCAGCTATCTCGTATCATATCTATTTTCACTCTGACAGTATAACAATCCTATACCAAATGTTCAGATACATATCCCTTATTCTACCCCCCCCCCCCCCTCCCCTGCAATTATTGTAAATGCTGTCAGGATCAATGTCGGCAGGTTCGTGTTTGTACATATGCAGTACCATGCAGAGGATGGGAGTATATGGGTAACATGGATGCATTTGTCTACAGGTGTCTGTTGTTTGTTTATCTGCGAGTCATCATTCGAACAGCATTTTTGACAAATCAATTCCCGCTTTCTCTACTTTTGGGCCCAATTGACCATTTACTTCGAATTTGGTTACATTCCCTCGTCCTGTCGTTTGAAGAGAGTTATGTTTTAAAAGCAAAAAGTGACGATATGAAGTAGAAAAAGAAAAAGCGTACCTGGCAACTGTGTATGGTTTCTTCAGCTTGTTAAATACGAGCTGTACACATGGAAAATAGATCATTACATTATTACCCCGATGTGTATTATTGTTGGCAGCTGTAAGTATGTACTTAAGTACGATATTGTTATTCACTTATCTTCTGACAGAGAAGTACTTGAATAGTTTCCGATTTATTGGACTACGGTTCGGTATTAACAAGTGTGCGCTTGGGCCACTTTTGTAAACTCAATGGCAATGATTCAGATTACAATAACGATATTGAGACTTAAATGCGCCTCAACGAACGTACTCTGAATACCCAAGCCTACAGTGATGATATTTATCTATAAGCATGCTCGGATGAAGGATTACCAAGTTTATTCAAATTAATTTAGCCTAAATATGTTATTTTTTCGAACCTCTTCTCCTGAATAACCATATGTCCTACGTTAATGCAATCTGGTAAGTACAGTACTATGGTGGCGTAAATGGGTGCGGAGTTTGTTAAACTGAACGACATTAAATGACATTCAAATTCACATGATTCAAAATCAGTTAAATCATTAAAAAGCATAATGGGTCATTAAGCATCACATAAATATGACGTAGCTACTAGCCAGTTGAAGTATATCCATGCATGATTTATTTGATTTATAGATACTTGAAGGGTAGCACTACGATATATAAAACCACGGTTATTTCATGAACAGTCTTACGTTGGTCTTTTGACACAAACATTTGTCTGGAAATATAAAAAATAATAAAATGTCATTACCTAATGTCAAAACTGGTACAACAATACTATTTCAATAGAATTTCAATCAATTAGCAACACATTCAATCTATACAATTATTTAGCCAACAGCATCTGGGCAATGACAATAAATAAACTATAATCATATTTGCTAGCGTTTTCGCCTGATTGACTGGCTGTCATCAGGCGACTGATGAATCCATAAATGGGCGACAATCCTAGCAGTGTTTATTGTTATTGTAGATATACATATCAAGACATGATAGGTTAACATCTCCCTCGACGATTTACCTCTCAATCTATGATGCTGAAAACACAAACAACTTTTTGTACCATTAACAGTTTGGAGCGGAACACAATATGCACCTACCAGGTAACACACGCTGTCTTTAAGTCAATCACACGTGTATATATCTCCCTGTGTTTTCGGATTTAGCTCGTGAATCGCCCAGTACGTTAGAAAACGCAATATTTATGCCATACTGTAACGGATGTATACCCATAAAATGATACCAGTCGCATGCTCAATAATTATAACCGCGGCTGTCACAATCGCAGAGGTGAGGGCTGCTGACATGGTATTTGTCAACAACCACAAAGCTCGGTGACTAATAATTATATTGATTATTATCCATCACGGTTCCGCTCTACGTTTGATAAGCTAATTCCAATATAATTATTTTGAAAAGCTGACGTAATAATTGATGCTTCCTCGAGTTGTTCATTTTTACGATTTCTTGTGAACCAGATGGATTAATTTCCGGAACCAGAACCCCCATCAGCAATTGCGGTGTTGATGTATATTTCTTTCTCACCTAAAAATAAGGATGCACAATTATTATTGTTAATGTTAGCTTCTTGTAATTTGATCTGAACGCGATTAGCGTGTAACACCTGTTCCTTAGGATCTTAAATTAAAAAAATGTACCCAAAATACATGCATTTTATATAAATGAATGCATTAAAATTATAAATAAGGAAACCATCAAATAAAAAAGCACATTAGAAATAACGGACACAAACAAACATTCTAAGTATACAATTACCTGATTCGTGTATAAAAACAAATAAAATAAGTTAATCTGAAAATAGAATATTTTAGAACCATCGAAGGTCTTTGTATGTTAATTAATATTGCAAAGCTGTGTTAAACGTTGTGCAATATTTGGGTTCTTTTTCATATATCGCTTATCTGACAGACGATATAGATACTTACCAGATGTTGTGCCATGGAGATCTTCATAGACGTTTGGGTTAGACCGACCCTCCAATGACTCGTATTCTCTGCTAAAACAAAATTAAAATATCTTATAAACTATGCACCATCCTAAATCTGCTAGCACAAAACGGTGGAAGATACTGAATGATGTGACCAAATTATATTAAAAGTGTTTACAAGTCATGGTAATTAAAAATATGTGATGATACAAACTCACTTGTCATTGACTGGATCTCGCCGGCGACCTACAAAACAAGCAACCTTACAGTTACATTATCCCCCGGAAACATTCATTTGTATGTAAATAACACAGTTTTTTATAAGTTTTATTCCATGTATTCAAAACCGAACGCACTCTTTTTATGTACAGATGAAAGAACATTAAAACCACCTGGGACCTCTATTAGGACCAACAAGATATTAATTTAATTTTTGTTTACATAGTTAAAAAAGGCATTATCATTACATCTGAGTTTAATGATAACAAATGGCGTTTCAGTAAGATAACGAATGTGCTGGTGTCGTACGTGTCAACACGGACTTTCCTTGTCAACACGGGATTTGTTCGTCAACATAATGTCAATGCGTGTTAGTGGTCATCGCTTTTTCCAGATTTCAATCCCACTGAGCAGCGATCAGTCGGACTGAGGAGTGAGAAATGAACGTCTGCAGCCTAAAACGAGGCCACAATTGGAGGACAGTCCTACAGGAACAGTGGCAGAAGATCCCGATGAGGTCTTGGAACCGACTCATTGCCTCCGTGCGACGTAGTTTTCAGGTTGTGGTCAACACCCACGCAATATTGATTATGTAATCTTGATTTTATGTGATTATTTTGTGATAAGATTTAAACATAAATTAGAATTCTGTTAGATTTATTGTTTTCCCATTGAATTGGGTCAATAACCTGTCTTTTTACGCATTTCATTTTTTTATATGTTAAAAAAACATTGGATGTTTATATACGAATATGATTCCGACACCGATCTACTTTTTGTTGAAACATCACAATATGTTTCTTCTTACGCTACTCTTTTGAATTTGTACACGCGTGTAACATTTTGTAGCTAAAAGTTACATGTATTTCTAACTCTTCTTCTTCTACTCAGTACTACATGAATGTGCAACTGTCCTGTCCTTCGGGAGATGTGTAGCTGTACTCTATATGGTCTTGACCACCTCCATGCAGTAAGATACTTACACTCTTAGCCGCCGTGATGGGTTATTGTGTAACTTCATGGAGGTGCAACATTGGTATTTTTTACAATAAAATAAGACGCACAACCATAGCTTTTGAGTCTAAATATGAAAAATCGGAATCGTATACGTGTATGTCTATACGACATGTCTTACTTTTCTTCAAGCTATACTTCGTCAAAACAATATTGCAGTAGTATTGGTACTTAAACTAATTATGTGTGGTGATGTTCACCCTAACATGACCAGTCTATAGAGCAGATCCACCAGCAGATATATCTGCTAATCACTTACGTTTTGGTGAGAAAAATGTTAACTTTCACTCAAACATACAAATATGTCAAGCGGTTCAATTATACATTCTCGAATGAAAATGTTTTCTTAAAAAAAACATTCACCGAAGCGACAGGACAAAAAGTATCTCTCTCCTACTTCTCATTTTATAAAATTTGTCAATTAAATTTACAGCTGGACTATTGCGTAATCATGCATTGTTTTGTAATTCAATCGGGAAAAGGCTTAAATAAGTTGTGATAACTTGCACCTTATCCTTTTGTTGTAATATGCAATACAATCTGCTTGAACTAAACTCAACTTGATTGTATGTGCGCTGAATAAACGCTAATTTTATCGTTTCATGGGAACATTTGAATGAACTGAAGTGTTTTTTTTATCTGACACAACATATATTGATTTTTACAGTGTGAATTTGTAGCATTTCCAGTACATTAAAGAAACAATATCAAAACATATAGCTACCGTTTCTTTTTGGGGCCAGTTTATAGAAGTGTATCATTATAATACAAGGATTGCGTGTGTTTTACCTGGAAGATGACTTTCTATTTCGGAGTACACAGATGCCTTGGCAATTTCATTCGTATCGAGTTGTTCATATGGGGATCTGTGAAGATATAAGATAAGACCAATAAAACGATGTAACTACTTGTTTTCAAGCATTGCTATACAACAGTTAAAAGTCATATTGCTATTTAACAGTTAACAAACATAACGCTACACCCCTGCGGGTCGGGGATCGAGAAAACAATTGACTTGCTGTTATCTGTTGCATGCATCGTAAGAGGCCATTAATATGGAAACCTACTGCATAATTTGGGATTTGCTTTTGTGCCCTATACTAAGGGACACAAAAGCGATCAAACATATCTGCTGCACTAAATGAACTAGTTCGGATCCCTATCTTTTTTCTTATTCTTACTACTTTTTTATTTCCTAATGCCTTGCTAGGCTAAACCTCCCTTTTGGCTTTCATGTTTAACGTTTCCCAGGTGGGGAAGGCAATGTGTTCTGTCCTCAGGCCAGGACACACCATATTCCTTTAAAAAATGGTAGCTGGCATTCCTGCTTAACGTTCAGCATTTGAGGAAATGGCATTGACTAGTTCACCCGTCATCATGATAATATGACTGAGCGGAATGCTATGCTGGGTGCATTCAGTATGGGTTTTCAGTGAGCTGTTAATTGAACTTTTAATAAAATAAAATAAAATGTTGTTTTGAGTAAGTGTTGGATGTCCAAACAAGATTACCGTTCGTCCTCCTCTTCATTGGGTGTCACAGCTGAAAAAAGAAATGTATAATTTAATCAATATTCCTTTTTCACTTTTGTAAAATTGAACGAATGCTATATAGACTTGGGTATTGCTTGAACTATTTTGTATTGCATTGTATACAACCTAACCGTTAGGGGAAATTAACACATCATTAATAATTGTATATAGAAAAGAGCTTATTGATGTTGGTCATTATCACTAAAACTGCGTGTACAAGAGTATCAAGCGTTTTTTACTGAAATTACCTCGTTCTGAAAGTTGCACGTTCTGAAATTCACTTTGTTTCAGATGCTGACCTTTGCTAGAAAACAATACACAAAATTACAATATATTTGTTTAATTCATAACTATTACTTCACAATATATAACATTTTGGAAAAAAAACAACTCTAACATAGAAAGATGATTTTACTTACGCACGTTTTTAAAATAAACTGATTTTAAACAGCATTGTATTGTCAATAATATAAACAAGATATTAACGAAAAGACGAAATAACTAATTAACACCAAAACACGATATCTGTCGATTTGATGTCAGCATTAAATTACTTACATAAAAGGCAGTCTACCATTTCCTGTAAAATAACATAGGTATATGCTAAAAGTAGTGTATACTTGTTTTACCTTTACATATAACGAACGTAAATTGAAGTAATGCAGTTGTCTTGAGTACGTTTAATCCGTGACATAGAGAAACCGACAGAACAAGTGAAAATCATTGATCAATATAAATATAAATAAACCTTACATATAATTTTTGCGATTTCCTCTATTTTTCTTCCTCTTCTGTTTTTTTTTTTTTTCAAGATTTAAGTAATTTATACGTACGACTAATGAATATTCCAAGTCCAACTGTTAACAGCAGCGTTAGAACACTGGTACAAATCAGGGCAACTGCTGTTACATACATGTTGTCGGTACTGCAGGAGCATTCTTTATCAAACAAATAGTAGTATCTGTACTTTTTTTTATAAACCAATCAATATATAGTTATAAATTATCTGATTCTTTAAATAGACTGTTGTCAGCAAACAGTCAACTTAAACTTGACATACATGTAAGTCGTTCAAACTCAACAGTAATAATTGAAGGGCAAAATATGAAAAGTAGAAATATTTGTATGATAAAGAAAAAAATAAAAAGTAAGGAAGAATAAGACTCTATGTTCCGGTAAGGTAAGCGTCTTCTGCTTCATCGACGATACCTGCCTAGTAAATCTAGGTCAAAGCAAAGTAATTGTAAAGTAAGACCTGGATTAATGGCAAAGAAAAGAAAAGCGTGATGGGTATAATTAAAAATCATCGACCAGCATATCATATGAGAACATGCTATATAAGATTGCGTATTAAACCATAGAATGTGCCTATATTACAAACTGTATCTCTCAAAATATTATTTGTCAGTTTGTCCATAAGAAATCGACCTCTATCCATATAAACTCCTGTTGTTTAAAAACAACCCATGAGATATTTAAAAAATGTTGGACATGCAAGATTTCTTTTGCCAGTCGTGGTAAGCTTTTCAATAAATTCAGAGTCATTATTATCAAAGGACAGAACGGGAGAGAAAGGTTCGATCAGGAGGAGAGCAATCTTGTTGTAACTTGAATGCCACAAGTCTAATGGAAAATCTTGGCATAGGGTTCAAATGCTTCAAACGCTTAAAATAGAATATAATAGTTATAACTATGTAAAAACATAAACTATTCACATCGCTTATATAGTAGCCTGTAACACATTAACAAAAGGTGATTGTTAGTAACTCACCTTCCTGAACTGTACATCCAACAGTATCAAGTGATGTTGTATTTCCGTAGGTGTTGTATGCTGCAATCTTAAATGTATATAGTCGTCCTCCCACTAAATTGTCTACATTCAAATTATAAATGTTCCTTCCTTCTTCAAATGCAATTGTCAAGGGATAAACTTCTTCTGAATGTTCAAAGGCATCCATGCTGAATAAAACACGGTAAAACTGGGAGTTCCCACCGTCCTTCCACGATACTTTGGCAGATATTTGCTTTCCACAGTCAACTGACAACATCTTAGTGGGACTCGGATTTCCTATGGTTTTAATACAAATGAGTATGTTTAAACCATCGTATGTTACAATACATTAATCAGATGTATACACGTTATGGACGATTATTTAGGAAATTCGGCTTCAGCATTTAGATATATTTTAGACTAAATAGGTTCGTGTGAGCCTTTGACATCGTACCAACAATACCGTGCGCACACGATGCAGAAATCGTGCTCAGAATGGAACAAGTTAACGATCGTTTGCTCCATTTTGCACTCGTGTAGGTACAAATGATCAATATTACAGACTGAACAAATCCGGAACACTCGTGTAAAATTAGGAAGTATTTGATTACTGATCACTTTATTATGTGTTTATCCGAATTAGCCAATGCATGATACAATGACTGTAAAACTGTCAAGCATTGTGACTCCCAGGTTACCACGTGCCAGAACAGATAGACACTATTTACTAGGTGTCTTTGAATTTAGTTTTGCTTATATTCATCAGTATTTGATACATAGGGTACATCGGTTATATGACAGTTATCTTAACAAACCTGGATATTGTAAGTTTAACTACGTTCTTGTTAGACTATTGCTTTTTGACACCTGACATTTTAATATCTCTGTGAGTAGGAATCCCGGGTTACCAAATATTCCCAGATATACGCTAAGGCAGGTATGTTTGCTTGTAGGAATCCTACGCACTGAGGTGTCATACACAGGTGCATATGTAGTGCATCGAACTGGAATTCATTTCAAAACTATAATATTTACATCTGCATGGCAGTGTCAGTATATAGCCTCTTTGAAAGCTGTGTCGTTGATAGGACTTTGATTACCATGCATCACGAGACACAATTATAAGCATATTAATACAACACTGAAAGGAACTACAATATCCAATGCAAATAAACATGACGGCTGTTGAAATATCGCTGGGCATTGCGAGACTTGACAATGTAATTGTAAATTTACGTTCAAAAGAAAAAGAAAATATCAAAAAAAAACTTGTATTACAACAAAAACAAGACCAAGGTCTGCAATATCGTACAAAAAGCACATCGGTTGAAATCACCAATGCCGGCAATGGAAACAGTTTTAACACTCATGCAATTCATCAGAAATATCGTCTGATACACTGCACTGATCAACAGGGTTCGTTGCAAATGTCTGAAATACACATATTTTATAGACCTACTGCCACATATGTTACAGACCTACTGATATGAGTCACAGCACACATAACTGAACATTTCAAACATTTGTAACGAACCCCTGTGCTCCGTCGCAAGATACCTCACTTCAGACGCTATCAGTATCACGCGTCTCGCATCCACGGTTTCCACAGTTTTTGACGACATGTCACATAACGAGGCTGTTGTAGAAACTACCGACTGTAGTTAGATTCCCATACAATCAACAAATAAATTCACGTCTGGATTTTTCACAAATTCGAACTACACTCTCTGTTAATTTAACTTCCAAAAATAACCCCCTCGTGGAGGTCAAGGTTGGATTCACGGTGTTCACTGTATTTATCCATGCGCCAAATTTGTTCTGGGGAAAAATCAGAACAATTTAAAATCTAACTTTCAGCTCAGATTTATATTGATAAACTTAGATCACCCTATAGACATATCATACAATTGAATTGATACTGAATTGATGAATAAAGTTGAAGTGTTTGTTAAAATTTCAAAGTACTACTTTGTTTGCCAATCAGCACGCGACAATACGCTGTTCAAACTATTGAACGACATTGTGTGTACTGTCGATAAGGCGGGCATTTTAATTTTAAATATAAATTATAAGTTAAAAATGAACATAAGAGGCAGAGAAAATGTAAAAATAAGTATTGAACTGTTTTTGTATGGTATGTATGATACATTTGAATGACACAGCTTTGCTAGCGCACATTATGTTGTTTGCTTGCAAAGCTGTGTCATTTAAATATATCATACATACCATACAAACACAGTTCAATGCTTGATAATCATATCTAACAATATATTTAGTGCATTCAGACACAATTGTGAAGTTACAGAAAATACCTATTTTTTATGATTAACATTAAATAAAAAGAATTCAAAGACATAACACAGTATAAAGATGTGGTTGTATTGTCAATGCTATTATGAAAGCGACCATGTTACTAATATTGCTGCTGATATTTTAACAAGTATGGCCAATACTCACGTTGCGCACGAACTGTAAAGCTGACTATTGCACTTCCCTGGCTGTTTGTTGCTGTGACATGATACAATCCAAACCATTCTTCTTGTATATTTGTACGTATCCCCACCGATAAAGCAGATACATTCGCCTTTTCGAAGTTGTTTTGTATAGCAAAGTTGTCCGTCCCGTTTACAAGTTCTTTGGCAGCTGTCAGTTGGTTGAGTTGGAATGTCCATGTGAACAGTGGTTCCGGGTTGGAGATAAACACAGCGGGAATAGTGAGGGTTTTTGACAATGGTATGTCAACTGTATGATGGTCGTCCGGTACCAGGTATGGACGTGGCTTACCTAAAATGCAGATCAAGGAGACGTCAAAATTATTTTGCATTTATATAGTATCATAACATTTTATTATATTTATGCAATATGTTTGAGTCCTATATTGTTCGTTGTGCTGTTCCGTCTTTGCGTATTGCAGAGTTATCTTCTCTTGGGAGCAGGTATTGCTTGTTACGTCACTTGTTTGTGAGAGCAACGTCATCATTTTTTGAGAAAACGACGTAATTTTCTCACACAAACCAATGACGTAACAATCAACACCTGTTCCCGCGAGAAGATAACTCTGCAATACGCAAAGACGGAATTACAGGTTTAATATCATTCAAACGGATAATTAAACAAAGCGATGTACATCCACAGATCTAATTAGTGTTGTTGTTTATTCTCATTGAAAATAACTTACACAAATTAATTAAGAAGTGAAAATCGGAAGGTTATGATGAGTAACCAAATACATATTGTCTCTATTGATGAAGAAGCGGAAAGTAGCTATTTTGTATATCAATGTGTTTTTTTTCATTTTTCTTTTCAAATAGAATTACTGAAATATATACCGTAATTGCGAGCGCAACCATGTATTGCATAAATATTCTGTTGGCGAACTTCATCGCTTACAAGTACAAAGTGCCTTGCCTGAAGGGCGAACATACTGACTAGATATCAATGACCAGCAGCATCGCCAAGACTTTTTTCGAGACAACTTTTTTTGTTTCCTATTACAGTAAAACCTGTCTATTCGGACACTATGATGGAGTTAATGTTTTGGTTGGATTAGACAGGGTCTCAGAAAAGTCAGGTTGGTAAGTGGCAAGTCAGTTTGGTAGTCAAGTTGATATGCAAACGATCATTTATTTTCATTTAGATAAGTTTAGGCACACTAAGATATTAAAACAAACAAAAAGCAAATATTCAAATTAAATATTAACTTTGTTTCAAACATATATACAATATATACTAGCAGAAAAAAGAAACTGTGCATGCGGATTAATGCTATGCCGAGGCTCAATGACCGCCTCTGGATTATTGGTATGCTTCAAGCTGGTATGGGCGAAGTCGTTGTCTCTACACGTTTTTATGTCCATCGAAAGACAATCCGGGATTTGTGCAGACGACATCAACAGTTTGGCCATGTCGGCGATCGACCTCGTGCGGGACGTCAACGTGTGAAGTAACGTCAACAGGACAACCATATTCGACTTGTTCATTTGAGAAATCGCTTCCAAACGGCAAATTTGACTGCACGGACAATCTCTGGGTTGCTACTAATAAGCCCGAGAACTGTAAGGAACCGATTGCGTGAACGAGCTATCCATCCGCGACGTCCTGCAATCTGCCAAGTTCTTCTGCCACGTCATCGTGTAGCACGTCTGGACTGGTGCAGAAGGCATCTGCGATTTACTCGACGGGATTGGGCAGGCATTTTGTTTACGGACGAGACGCGAGTCCACCTGAATAGTAGTGACGGCCATTCCAGAGTGTATCGTCGCGTTGGAGAACGTTTCCGTGACGCGTGTGTGATACAACGACGTTCTTTCGGCGGAGGCATGGTTATGATTTGGGGCGGCATCACAACCAACGGAAGAACGACTCTGGTAGTTGTTAACGGTGATTTGAACGCGCTACGTTACCGTGACGAGATACTCTAGACCCACGTCGTTCCATTCGTGCGAGCGCAGCAACGTCACATTACGCTATGTGTATGATGTGCACAACGCCAGGCCACACACAGCTCGTATCGCTATGGACTTTCTGGTCCAGCAGAACGTTGACGTGTTGCCCTGGCCTGCTGTATCCCCCGATCTGTCGCCCATTGAACACGTCTGGGATGAAATGAAGCGCAGATTACTGGCATTACTTTATCAACCGGTGACGTTGGCTTATTTGGCTGCAGCGTTGGTACAGATCTAGAATGCCCTCCCACAAGCATTCTTGAACCGTCTGATAGGCTTCATGCGTCGACGTTGTCAGGTTAGCATTCAAGCAAACGGTGGACATATGAGTTATCAACTTTGTGAACTCAGTATTGACCCCTGCTGTGTTTACGTACTCCTGAGCGGAACTTATTAATTCCATAACGTGGAAAATGAAATGCAACTGTTAATAAATAACAAACACATTATCCCTGTAAATCTTTTTGTTTTACGTCATACACATTTATTTTTTTACATTTTACACATTTTAGGCATGCCCAGTTTCTTTTTTCCGCTAGCATATATACATATTATGTACATGTTAACAAGTGGTTTTGCACGATGTTAGTGACGAGGTAAGTGCATCGCATCATAGCAACTGCATATCTATAGTATACCTAAAAGTCGCTCACGTCCTATTTCAGAAATTTGTCCATTATTCCTTCTTTCCAAGTTGATTTATTTCTCATTACAATGTAATATATTTTCAGTGTTTAATCCCCATTTAATATCTATCATCCTTTTACAGTGTAATATGTGGTCGATACCATACGTCACGCTACGTTCCTATTGATCAAAGTTTCAAAAAATGTAATGCTTAAGGGGTTAGCCCAAACATTTGTACAATTTTGAATTTCCACTACCTACGGATGCTTCAAGTGAAATATGGTTGATATTCAACTCTCAGTTCAAGAGAAGAAGTTGCTTAAAGCAATATAGCCAAAATGCCCACTTTTGGCCCCGCCCCTCAGCCCCCTGGGGTGTCAGCCCCACCATTTGTAAAATTTTGAATCTCCACTACCTACGAATGCTTCAAGTCAAATATGGCTGATATCCATCTCTTAGTTCCAGAGAAGTAGTCGCTTAAAACAGTATAGCCAAATTGCCCCCTTTTGTCGTTGCCCTTCAGCTCCCTGTAGAGTCAAGCCAACCATTTGTACAATTTTGAATCGCTACTACCTCGGGATGCTTCCAATCAAATATGGTTGATATCCATCTGTTTGTTCCAGAGGAGAAGTCGCTTAAAGTAATATAGCCAAATTGCCCCCTGTGGACCCCGCCCCTCAGCGCCCTGGGGGGTCAGACCTATCATTTGTACATTTTGAAATCCCGAGCACCTAAGGATACTTCCAGTCAAATTCAGTTAAATTCCAATCAGTGGTTAAGAAGAAGGAGTCGTGGAAAAAATGTTGACGTACGGACGACAGACGACGGACGCCACGGTATGGCATACGCTCACCTTGGTCTTTCGGACCCGGCGAGCTAACAAGCGGAGTGCCTGTACATCATATTTTACAAGCTTTATACTGGTGTTAACTACACTGCACACCTCTCTTTAGCCTTGTTTTCATTAGTTGGTATATATTGCGAATTTCTCCCTGTCTCTCAACTTTCAGAAAATATAAAATAAATATATATATATATTATATAGTATAGATTCTTATATTTACATTTTAGAAGCAGCATCTTTGAAACATAGACATATATAATGATATAATTTCGTGCTTAATTGAAACTTTATTTTCTTTTCTTGTATACATGTGCTACTATATTTAAAAAAGGATTGGGAGCTTTTTTAACTTATCGGTGCATATATTAAACATGCATTGGTGATGTTAAATCTACCGATAAACACTATTCTGTTTTACAAATAAAAATATGATATACACTATGGTTTAGTTTTATGTTTGTCTAATAAAGAATCTTTAAATAAGTTTTATTATATAGTGGAATGTTCGCGATTGTTGCAAAGGCGGCTACTGTATATGGTACATATGTTTAGTGAGTGAGGAAACAGTTAAAACTAAATAACTTGTATTAGATATAAGGTACAAGTTATAACGGCGACGAGACGTGGCGTGCACCTTGTCCGTGCCATGTTCACTGATTATTCCCGACACTCTATCGCTGAGGAATAACAAATCGAAATACAGAATTGAAACCGTTGCTGCTCCGAATTGTCGCCGAAAGTCCAAGAGAAATCCATGACTTAGAATTACAAACTAGAAGTAGAGAGCATATCAGAATTTGCAATTGCATGAAAAGCAGGAAACTGTACTCACAATATAATTATACTGATGTGTCGTGATTTATTTACTCTCTTTATTTCATTATTCTATGGATGGGGTATTTCAAAGAACGGAAAGCATGTCCTTGTATATAAATATAGATACAAACTAAAAGTGTTGACTATGCAAATAATGATGACGTCATGTAACCAACGGTGATAATACACATTCGCTTGAAGAAGCCCTAGAAGGCAGAAAGGCCTAGCGGAAGATCTGACAAATTATGTTTTTATTCTATATTTTCCTTCGCAAGGACTTGTTTATTTATTATCTACTATATATATATATAAATATAGTAGATAATAAATAAACATATATACGGGCTTAGATATCAGTTTCTCAGCTTTCCATTGGTATTCGATATGTGCCTCTGCGATACCGATCTAGTTTGAGATTGAAAGTTTAACATAACAAGTAGTTTCCACATCGTCTCATGTCACGTGAACTTCATGGACAATGCCAAACGTGACGTTAAAAATCTTTAAACAGCCGATCGGCCTTGTGGCAGTCTAAAGATTACGGACATTTACATTTGGTTGGCTTTTTCTCTCTGGACGGGTTTTGTCATCAGATGGAATATTCCGATCATGCCTCATTATTACTAAAGGTACCTGGTGTGCTATCACTAGTTGAGTTTTGAAACAAAACACAATACGGATTTTTTTTTTATATACAAGTACCCCAACATTGTCATTTGGCAGAGACACATACTAGCTCACCAAGGGAAACACAAACAAAACAAAACTCACGTAGTTTTGAAAAAGTAAATAAACCTACCCAGCACAGACGAAAGCATTGACATGTTTTTCATATTGAAATACATGAACTATTTGTGATAAACGGGACTTTTGTTTTGTTATTTATGAATGGAATTTTAAATTAACCTTCGCAACCATATGTAATTACATGTACAAGTACACGCTATTCAATTTAACAATCGACCCGGGTTTTATTTCTTTATTACATTACGTTTATCCCAAAATATTTTACTAAAATATAAACGTATGTATTTAAATGCATTAGCTCCAATCAATATTGGACGAACAAAGAAAAGGTGAATAAATAAGACTCGATAGTTTCGTAACCATAACAACAATTTACTTACATGCCACGTTCAGTGTATAGTCAGGACTGTTTACAATCCTGTAAGGTTTAGGTAGACTTCGGTTCAAACGACGACAGGACCACACAGATCCATGGTCCCCTGTCTGTGGCTGTATGACCCACTGGAACACTGTACCGTAGTTAGTCGAGGTGGTAGTACAGGAGCAGACATCCGGGCTACAGAGGACAGGAGTAGTAGGAATGTCGTTGTAACACTGACCATCACGTACTTCTATACTACCTTGTACAGCAGTCACGTCAGGGCGGCGGTACAACTGGACAACGCTTCCCTCCCCTGGTACGTCACATGTCAATGTAAACCTATTATCGGGGACAGCGTACTCAGACGACCCGTTAAGTGTTACAGCATCTGTGTTACAGGAGATTAAACTGTTAAAACTCCTAGTACGAATACATTTTGTCAAGAGACAGATTATTCGAAAAAGCTATGCCCGCATTCATGATTAAGCACACAAACAATTCAATCAAATAAACCAAATTTACTAACATATGTATAAATATAACAAGAATATAAGTAAATATAAATGCTATTAGGCAACAATGCCACTATATTTGAGTGTGACTAATGACACAAATCCATGAATGGCTCTAACAATGAGCCAAATTCTCGTAACTATTTATAAGCATAAACAGAACTCAAACGTTCCACATGTTTTATAGAAAAAATATTCAAACTACATAAAATGACCCTTTGCACGACCACACAGTTCATATCATATATAGATATACAGCTATACATATGAACACAACAGTTCAGAATTTACATAGATGAATAATACGTTTATATAACGCAGATAAACACGCAGTTCATAATTTGTATAGATTATCACTTAGTTCCTATAACTCTGCTGATACTGTTGTGTAGTTATATTCACTGGATCCGGAAGATAGTGCCACCTGACTTCCGCCCTAGAAAGACAACAGCAAGCCATCGGACTGAGAGGACCTATTCCCCAGCGCTGACGGTCTGCGACAGTTGTTCTGACGGTGGCCAACCTAGTTCAAGATACCGCCCCACTCAGGTAACAGTCTTGAACATGTGAACCCACAACAACTGGTGTCAGAGGCGGTTTTCTTCCGCTGTGTTATGTCAATTTTCACAGCGGAGAGTTGTGTTCACGACGTCGGTGGGCGCCATATTTGAATTTATGTTTTTGTATTTTCGGTAAGGCTAGGTGAGGCACCCTCACCAGCCGTTTTCTAAATTGAATACAATTATATTATTATGTGTCACCGTATTACTTGATGAAAACTGTAAAGGAACTTCGAAAATATATACGGACCAGACCGGCAAATTAATCTATCAGGCGCCATATAAGGGTTTAACATTTCTTGGTATGAGTTTTTTTTCATCTTGGCATAATATTTATATTGATGTTGTAGGCAAGACATTGTGCATATGCACAACATAATGTATCTAGAATGAAATATTTAGATCTTAGTTATGTAGGATAGGTAGATAACGTTTGGTGTCAGAAATATATATACATATTCAAAATTATTGCAGTTTTTCTATTTGAACATCGGTACGCCTAGTAATAAGGTGCTGCTGGCCATCTACACATCACAAGTTCATAAATAAGACCAAAAAAAAAAAAAAATACAACCGTGTAGACATTTAATAAGCTTGCCAAATATCGGAGATAATTAACTTTGTGTGTGTGTGATGGAGGGTGGGGATGATGCTGTTTAAGTTCTACCCACCCTATCTGACAGACTATATCAACAATTGCAAAAAGTAACCTCTGCAATCTAAAGCAAAAACACTTACACCCACAACTACAATAAAACCTAATAAATCAACACATTCTTAAGCGTGGCATGATGAAACCGAAATGAAACTTGATCAAATCGTTTTCATAATGTTGTGAAAACGTCATAATGTGCTTTATCTATTTAAACTGATTTAATATTTTATTCTCCCCTTTTAATTTTGCGGAAAAAATACGGAATTTTATTTATTTATCTATTTTTGATAGTCATTCCTGTGCATGACATGCAAAAAAAATCCCCATGTATACATTTTCACTGCGAAAGATACTGTGTTACGGCAAACAAACTATTATCACGCAATGTGCAATAGATAAAAGGGGAACCGTTTATCAATAAAATGTCCATAAAGGTGCATAACTTTCTTTGAGGATCCATTGCATCATTTGGATCTTTATATTTTCTTTGCTTTTTACTGCCCTTTCGTTTCTTATCATCTCACTAGCCTTTGGCCTTGTTGATGGGTGTTTGTAGCCCAGGAACATTCAGGGTTCACAAAACACAGGAAAAACTAAAATCTATAAATTTGGTAATTGCTGCTCTATAAACAGGCAGTTGTTAGCACTAGTTTACTCGTTATCACAACTGTTCTGGAAGTATTATGTATGCTATTTCAATGATGTAGCACTCGCAAGTCGGTATCAGATCGATGCACCAGGAGGCAATACACTAGCATACCGCCTCCAGCACACACAGCATATAAAGAATGACCTTAAATGTCCTTAGCGTTTGAATGTAATAGGATGATAAAATAACAAATCAAAATAGTGTTTGTCAAAATATGATACATAAGAACAGTTGTAGGAGTTCTTGAATTGAAACTATTGATGATTGGAAATAACTGTTATGTTTACATATGCAACATCATGTCATATCGACAAATTTTCTGTACAATCTTATACCCTTCCTCACGTTCTATCTATTATATGGTTTAGTGTTTCACGAGCACTTCCTAAGACATCAGAGACGTTGATAGTACAGACTTGTCTGCAGAAGCTCGGTTGTCAAAAAGTTGTTTGTGTCTAGAAATAGACAACGAAGAAGAATGCCTATACCGATATATTTTTAACTTTCTATTTACTAAAGTTCAATTGAAGTTATCGTCAATAACCTAAACACAATCATAAGTTATACATGTACTTAAATAATATGTTTCCTTCTTTTCGTTATATAATGAACATTATTATTGATATGCTTACAAACTTACACATCACAAAAATGTACTCATTATCAACGTTAAAACCTTCAAAATAACGTGAATAAAGCTTTTAAATTGTCTTTACAATGCAGTTTTTGTGTGTCTTCAAATCATCAGATATCAATTTAAGCTAATCACATAATCTAAAAAAATCAGAAGCCTACCTTGACTAGCATATCTCCTACATTTTATTTGACTAAAACAGGCTTCCTAACAATGCTAACTGCTGATAAAACTTACACATCACAGAAACAATTACAGTTGTAGTTAACTCCCTGACAACATTCCTAGCCGTACACCTGTACGTCCCGTGTTCTGATCTGTCAAGTTGTCCCAGTGACAACACAGCTGAGGTAGTAAAGTTGGTGTTATCAAGTTTTGTCCAGACAAAGGTACAGCTAGGTCTACAGTCAGCTGTACAGGTGATGTCCGGTAACGTGTCTCCCTCAGTCCTGATGTAGGTAGTGTTCGATGGGAACAGGGTAACAGTACCAGGACCATCTACAGAACGTAAATAAACATTCCTTATTGTATGTTTGGATATACCCTCCATTTTTAATATGTATAACATAAAGTTGAAATAGTATATTTATATTTTCTTTTAATTTGCATAACTGTCGTTTCATAAATACTCTCGCACGTGTTTGGTGTTAATCATCATGATGCTCACACATAGTTGTGCAGAACCAACTTACACGTACCCTTTATGTGCATAATAACACATTTGACGGTGTAACCAACTTAGTAAAATAAACCTCAACGTTTCTACAAGTGTACATTTACAGATGGTTAAATTATTACCATTTAACAAAGAGTACCTACTTCATATTTAGGTGCACGCATTTATTCTCTATACAAAATAGTTACACGTTCCTTATCACAGGTGACCACATCAATCTGAACAAATTAATATTTTTTTCTAATTATCCTTTACATTCAAGTAACACTTAAATCAAGTAGCGCTATTCAAACCACTTTACAATGTCCAGTGTATACTTATTTAGTCTGAATATCATATTATATTTATAAAAATATCTTTAACTGTCAGCAAACAACCGGCGTTCAATGGCCCATAGTAAAAGGGCAGGTTTCTTCGTCGCGTAAATCCATTATAGCTAATGTTTTCGCAAACTTGTTAGATATTTGTTGTGGTCGATAGATATTTAACAATGATTTGTAAATTATACAATTTGTTATTAAAAAGTATATCTTTTATATTTTGACACCTCTATCAATTTTGAATATTTAGTTCAAAACAGAAAAATGTTGAACCCGAGAGCTAAAAATGGATCAAGTCGGTTTCTAGTAAACACGGACCTTCTACGTTGCTTTACAGTTACTTAACGCGACAGGGATAACGAGTTAGAAGATGGATTGTGGTCACACTTACAGCCAAGACAGGTTAGCAGGTCCTTTTACACTTGCACCTGCTATCCACATAAAACTGAACTAGATATTTAGGTATACATTACTGCTTTGATAAGTTAACAGCATAAATGATCGGACTTTACAAGGCTGTTACAAATCCATTATTTTACTTATGAGGTGATTCTAACAGCCGATATGAAGACCTTGGTGAGTACATTCCATGAGTAGACCGGAAACAACAACATGGTTGCATGGATTATACAGTAAATACTTATGGTATATTGCTGTGTGGATTTTAAACAAACGTAAACTGTTGTATAAGATATGACTGGTACAATATCAGTTGTAAGTATACAACGCACGAAAGAGTTCTGTAACTTGTATACGCTTCCGTTTGTGTGATATCGGATACTGTCGACGGTACTCTTGGGTTAAGGCCATATTTTGCGTGCTATACCAAGGTTCAGCGCAGGACCGGAACTGGGCAAATGGAATTAACAACCCATAAGATGGCGTAAGACAATAAAGGTAAGAACACAAAAACAATGTTTCCGTCTTCCTTTTTTTCGTATTAACCAACACTTTTAAGCGATTGGAATAAACTCCAAAAGAAAATTAAAATATTAATTTTGTGTATTTTATGTAGTGGGTAACTTTTAATTGAAATGTGTGTAACTGTCAATACATTGTGATATCACTCCCGTGAACTTCATATTTACGTACGCTGGATAAGCACTATTGATGTTACTTCACGGAGACATTTGAATAAAACTGAAGACAATTTATGTATTGATACAACACATATTGATATCAAATTGAACAGTGTGAAGAAACAATATCAATATTATAACGATACGTTTCCTTTGGGGACCAGTGTATCAATATGAACTATACTTCTAAAACATTACTGTGTATCAGGTTCGATATTGCTTTACGTGTATTTCAAATGGAAGAATGAGGGCTAAGGGATTAGAAAGGGGCTATTACAGACCCCACAACATTTACCACCCTAAAATCCTTCCTTGTGCTGTGGTATATTTCGGGTCTCTAAATGAATTTAATATTGATGTTTTAAGTTAAAATGTTGATATTTGTATCTTGCAACTGAATAGTTTAAGAACGTAAACACATAATAGGCTGATATATACGTGTTTCTTATAGATGTACATGCTGATTTCGCTGCTACATCATAATTTGGTACGCGTAACGAACTTGAACGCCAGCGAATTGTATGTATGGAGGCTATGCTTTGTATGGGGTCTTTGTACAGTTGGGAGTAAACTTAACTTGGTAGCATAGTGCACTGGAAATTAACAAGAATATGGAACTCTAGTGCTTGTGCACGGACGTTAACAAACGCAGTGCCTGTACATCAGATTTTACAAGCGTTTTACTTGTGTTAACTACAGTGCACAATTATCGTTAGCAATATAACTGTCTGGTTTTCATCAGTTAGTATGTATTGTGCATTTCTCCAAGTCCATCAACTTTAAGAACATTTAAAATAAACACATATATAGCAATGCATAGATTCATATATTTAAATTTCAGAATCAGCATCCTTAAAACAAAGACATATATTTAAGCATTGAACTGTTACCAGATGCAGTATACTTTATACTCCATCTGGTAACAATTCAATGCTTATATTTACATTCATATAGTTTGTTTTGTATAGTAACTGAAACAAAAATGCGTTTGAATTTCCCACTTATCATATCAGTGACGTCAGTAAGTTCAAATTCCAGAACAGCCGAATTCTCCAGAAGAAATAATATAGTCCCTCGTGTCATTGGAAACCACACGCACATAAAACAGTTTGAACACACAATTAACTTTAATATTTATATCATATGAGTGTGTATATGTTGAAATAATATTAGTAATTGCATAGCCTCTACTTGTTTAAAATTAAAGCTGTTTTTACCGCATTATATATTACATCTATTTGGAAGTGATGCGGCGCTGAACGGACTTGATTGCTTCCTCGGAAACACTTATGTTTCCATCGACTGGACTATTACGTTATTTTCAGAAGCATATATACTTGGGAATTGCTAACTAAAGTGGTACTTTCAGCAGGTGATAACGATTCCAAGGACATTTCGTTTGAAACAGATTCCATGCCGGTCAAATTAGCATCGCTAGCAGACGACGTTCACAGGGGCCCGGTTTCGTGATTTTAAGTAATGGATAACATCACTGAAGAAACACAACACTTAAACAGCTATTTATACACATTCTAAAACCTTGTCGATACCCTCGACTTGTACAGGGTTTTATAAATGCTGCATTTTAGTGTTGTGGTTATTCACTGATGTTATCCAAAACTCAAAATATCGAAACCGAGCCCCTGTTTGATGACGTTGACAAACTTGGTAATTTCGTATCTATAATGGCGCTTACAGTAATTTTGTGGTACCTACACATCTTACAATAAATTTATATTGTCATAATTTGTCAAGTTGCTTTAGTTTTTGCGATGACCTACATTGCTAAATGCTAATGAATCCAGAAATGTATCTGGCAATAGGCCTATTGATACCGAAAGTATCTGGTGGCCATGTATGTTCCTACACTGACCGAATCACTATAAATTGCAATATACAGTCTCATATACTGGAATTTGGTTAACTTACGACATATAGGCAAATGCAACACAGAATGTAAATAAAATGATAGAATTTCGTGCTTACAAGGGAATTCTATTTTATTTTAATGTATTTTAAAATGTCTTTAAAAAGGATCGAAAACTTGTTAACTAATCAGTGTACATGTATGCATTAAATATGCATTGGTAATGATAAATCTACCCATTGACACCAACCTGTTATACATATTAAAATATGATATAAAATATGGTTGAGTTTTATGTTTTTCTATAACAATTAATCTTTTAATAAATTTTAAAGTTGGGAGGGAGTATGACATTAAGTGTTAGTGAATTTGTTTTAATAAATTGAAATGTCTTTCATATTCTTTCTAAACCGAGGCTTGGTTGACGTTACACAGTGAAGGTTTATATTTGTGCAAAAACTAATTTGACTGATTATAAATATAATGTACCAAATAATGTTCTGGTAAAACAACAACATTTTTTTTTTTTTGTAAACCGAAACTACCAGGATTGAACAATATATATATCAGTAAATATTCATTGATGTTCCTCCCGGGTCTGTAAGACATTATATACGGATATTAATCCTTTCTCTGTCACAATAAAAAACACTGATTTTCTGTCAGGCCAAGATTTCAGCATGCCTTACAAATGTCTTATGACGTCGTTGTTTAATTACGTAAACACTTTAAGCGTAGACCGAGTTACGTTTTCCGATGACGACAAACTTGCTGAAAAAACCCACTGAGTTGTCATTTTCAAAAGAAGTAAAAACAATTACGGTCACCAAAAACAATACTTCTATGGAAAGTGGAAGTCAGTATCCATGAAATCATATTACTAAATTTTACACGTATATAGTGCGGATGTTGGTATTACCGTTGGAATTACGGTAGTCACTTATATCTTTCGCTGTAATCCACATCTCTGTACGTTTTTTAGCTTTTGAAGATGTCTTGGTTTCATTTCGTTTACTCGTCAATAATAATGACGCCAATCGTAGCAAAAATATGGCTAACAGACCTTAGATGATGATAATGGATAACTCAACCAGTATATTTTTTTTCTAGAAATATCCATTGAAAACCTTATAACGGAATCCGTTACACAAACTAACAGACGAGGCAGCCTCGCAAAGATCAATGGTTGATTCAGGTAATGTTACCAGGAATATAAAAGCAAAGTACCGAATATTTTAGACAGCGTTATAATAACCATTTCATATTATGTAAGAGAGAAACTAGATAAATTATTTCCGTGGAAACTAAACAATTTGTTTATATTTGCTTTCTATTGCAATGTTGATGTTGATGCCTTAACATAGTCTTGCAACATATCAGTTTTCGCCGAGGGACGCACATTCTAATCAAACTTGGTCGCTGATTAGTTACCTGTTGAAGCGACTTTAAGAAATTTCTTAAAAGTTAGAATACATAATGGAACTCCGCGCACGCTAGCGCAATACACTTGGAGATAATTGGTACCATTGGCACACTTGCTTCGACTCCATTTGTTTAGTTATATCCAAACGCGCCCTTATGTATATAGTTACTTGCCATGCACTGATAGTACTGTAGACCTACTGGTTACGAATGATAACTTTTCCTGTTTAACTGCACCTTTGATAAATATGATCTTAAGAGTGAAAACGACATCCCTAGCGAAACTTTTTGAAACATACATGAAATACAGTGTAGATAAGAAGACAATGCAACAGGGTCTGACGAAATCCGAAACGAAGGAGGTTGCTGCATGTATGACAATCCACATAGGAAAATTGTCTTACATCATTTTACCTTTACGTGCATGGTTTGCAATTGGTACAAAGATGGCTATAATATGTAATACAGAAGATTAGTAAGTGAAAAAAAAGTGAATACCAAATTATTGCTATTAGATATTAGGCACAAGTTATAACAACGTCGATATGTGACGCGCAACTTGCCAGTGCTATGTCTACTGACTGTACCCGACGCTCTATATATGAGGAATAACAACGTTAAATACATAGAAAAACAAATATGTGAATAGGTTTTTGATATATTGACACCGTTGCTCCGAATGTTTGCAGAAAGTTCAAGAGAAATACATGAATTAGAAGAAAAAACTAGAAGTAGAGATCGTATCAGAATGTTCACTTGCATGAAAAGCAGGAAACTGTACTCTCAATATATGCGGGTGTGTCTTGATTTATTTACTTTTATTTAATTATTCTATGAATGTGTATTTTAAAGAAGGGAGAAAACATGTCATTGTATGTGTTTATATATATGAACTTCGAGACCAGGTTATCAGCTTTCCATTGGTGTACGATATGTGCCTCTGCGATACCGACTAATTGTAGATTGACAGTTTAACAAAACAAGCAGTTATCAAATCTTTTCATGTCACGTGAATTAATGAGTTCATGGACAATGCTGAATGTGACGTCAAAATTCGTTAAAAAACGATCGGTCCAGTTACGATTGTAAATTGGGTGTTTTTTTCTGGATGAGTTTTGTCATCAGATATAACTCGGTTATATTTATAAAACTTGCATTAGAATAAAGATCCCTTGTGTTTACAAATAGTATCTGGCGTACTAATCAAAAGTTGAGTCTTTGCAACACACAACGCGGAAGGTTCTTTATATACAAGTATCCCAACATTTTCAGTTGGAAGAGAAACATACAAATTCAACAAAACAAAACTCCCGTAGTTTGGGAATGGTAAATAAACATACTCAGCACGGACGAAATGATTGAATAATTTTCAATATTGATATACGTGAAATGTTTGTAAAACATGGGAAAATAGATACTAACGCTAATACATGAACTATTTGTAACAATCATGAAAAGAGAGACTTTTGTTTTGTTATTTATAAATATAATTTTAAATTAACCTTCTTGCAGTGATATTAAATAAGATAATATGGAGTTGCATGTACATTGTACTGTATTTAGTGTAGCTAAGTGATTCAGTATGACTATCAACCCGTTTTCATTATCTTTATTACATTACATTTATCCCAAACTATTTAAATGCATTCAATATAAACGCGTGCATATACATAGATTAGCTCCAATCAATATGGGACGAACACATAAATAGGTAATGAATAAGACTCGATAGTTTCGCAAACACAACAACAATTTACTTACCTGCCACGTTAAGTGTGTAGTCAGGACTGTGTACAACCCTGTCAGTAGCAGGTAGCCTTGCGTTGGTACGTTGACAATACCACACAGATCCATGGTCTCCTGTATGTGGCTGTATGACCCACTGGAACACTGTACCATAGTCAGTCTGGGTGGTAGTACAGGAGCAGACATCCGGGCTACAGAGGAGAGTAGTAGCGGTGTTGTAACATTGACCACCACGTACGTGTATACTACCTTGCACAGCAGTCACGTCTGGACGGCGGTACAACTGGACACTTTTTGCCTCCTCCGGTACGTCACACGTCAGTGTGAAGTCACTCCCGGGGACAGCGTACTCAGACGACCCGGTCAATGTGACAGCAACTATGTTACAGGAGATTAAACTGTTGTTAAAACAACACTCAGTACTGGTATCACTCAGGGGAAAGCACAGTAAGTGGACAAAGTGTTTACAGATCAAACCCCGGCGGCGCTTTGCGCCTCTTTAGGGGTTTGAAAAAAATATTAACGCGTCTCCATCGATATATATATATAGTCCTTGTGATGATAAGATACCAAAAAACTAATGACAAGAGTTTCTTAGTACATCCCTATCTTTAGAGGTTCATCAAGGGAACTGTTTATTAGTTTAAGTGTAAAACTGAACTAAGAACTTATAAACATACAATTTTGGAATGTAATGGATTCAGGAATTTTTGCTAAATTCTGTTTTTTTGTTAAAATTTGGTGTTTTGTCTTTATTATTCATAATCAGAATAGAAGTATGTGTACACTAGATAAACAAATACCCCTTATTATTAAGTACTACATATGTTCTTCAATATTGAAGAATCGCTTTCAGTTCAGCAAAATATTACAAAAGTCAAAGGATTTTCAAATTATAACCCTTTTTTCTAAATAATTTGATTCAGCGGCAAACGCTCATTGATATATCCTAGACCCATGGCAAGTATTTATTATTATTTAAAGCACAANCCTGCAGTACACCTTAGCTGTAAGGAAATAATGGAATATTTGGTCAGGTATTACATCAAGAACGATCTCCCTTCTCAACAATCTACCCTAAAATCAGCCAACCGTGATGATGTCATTGCGTGACATTGTTAGCTTCTTTAATCCAAATCACGCGGCGTGATCAAGCCAAGCCGGGATTTGTCAAACAAATAATCTCAACGGATACTCTAAGTTCAGCCACATTAATTTTCCACGTTGGCATTTTGATTTCGCCATTGACTGAGATGCCACGCTTAACGCAAATTCAGAGTAGTAGAGCAATTGCGATGTTGATGGATGGTCATAGCCAAACTGATGCCGCACGGCAGTTTGGTGTTGGCCCGTGTACAATTTATCGTCTCTGGACACGTTTTCGTGCTACTGTGTTAATTTCCGATCGTTCCAGGAGCGGTCGTCCGCGTGTAACGACCGCACGACAAGACAGGGCGATTCGATTGTCGCACTTGCACAACAGATTCAAGACTGCTGTAGAGACTGCGTCGCATACCTTAGGTACTCATGGCGGACCCATAAGTCCTCAAACTGCCAGGAACCGCTTGCGTGCCGAGAGAATCATTGCGCGCCGACATTATGTCGGGCCACCTCTGACATCACGGAGACGGCAAGTGCGTCTTGACTGGATGCGCAGACATGGCCCGAATAGGTTTGGGATGCGTTGATGGAGGCGTGTGATGTTCACCGACGAGTCTAGATTCTGTCTGTATCGCTCAGACGGAAGAAAAAGGGTATATCGCAGACGCGGTGAGCGTTTCGCCGACGCATGAGTGGTTGAACGCGATATATTCGGTGGGGCTTCTGTAATGGTTTAGGGAGGCATCTCCCATGGAGTAAAATCCCCCTTAGTGGTCGTGGATCAAAACCTCAATGCCGTTCGATACAGAGACCAGATCATCCAACCACATGTCCTTCCACTTCTCAGACGTCATAACCTAATTTTCCAGCAAGACAATGCTCGACCGCATGTTGCCAGAGTCTGTCGTGATTTTCTCACGGCAAACAACGTTCAGCCTCTGGAATGGCCCCCTTATAGCCCCGACATGTCTCCCATTGGACATCTGTGGGATGAGCTGGACAGGCGTATTAGGAAACGTCAACCCCCCCCCCCCCCCAACTAACCGCGCCCAGTTGATCGCAGCATTAACACAAGAATTTAACAACATTCCCTTAAGTCGAGTAAATGTTCTCATGAATTCAATGCATAGGAGAATCCGTGCAGGGACTCATGCAAAAGGTGCCCACACCAGGTACTGAAGTGCCATTTTGTTTTTCGCGGGTATCCCACTTTGAGTAACTACTAATGACACAACACAGACTTTTCTTCTACAGTATTGTAAAGAGTAGACTTGTCCCTTCACATTGATATATCATGCCAAAATATCATAGGCTATTGATCGCATAATTTAATTGTGCGGGTTTTTTTTTTCAGTATACTTTGACCCTGATCCCTAAAACTCGATGCGAGCTAAAATGAAAACTTCGTGACGAGTTTCATAAACTTAATATGAAATAAAAACGAGTGTAAGATCCTTTTTATCACATAACTAAGATTACTCGTGTAAAACGACTATTTCCATGCAACCTTGAAATGAAAAAGCCGCCATTTTCACTCAAGTGCGTACGTCTGTGATATCACGTTCTTGTCTTAGTCGTGACGTCACAGTTGAAACAATTGAAACTTACAATCAATCACAGGGCTGATAAAACAAGGAATGTCATAATTCATGGGTTAATACGCCAAAAAATATGACATGGGTAAATTCACTTGATAACACAGTACATTATGTGATAAATACCGATACCTTTCTTCGAGTATATCCCTGTATCGTTACTGTACTGTTATCATTTCATATTTCTTAAAATCGGTTATATACCCTAATCATTGTTTAGGGCTACAACAATCACAGTTTGTCACACATAGTCTAGAGTAGCATGCGAATTTCAGGTCGTCATTATGAGTCATCTTCGTCACTCTTTTTCTAACACAAAATCCACTTTCATCAACAAACAGAACAATCATAGTTATTGTCATCACCGACACGCCTTTGTCATAAACGTCAGAAATCAAAACATTCAATACAAATTACGTTTCGTTTTCATCCCAAAACAAACATTTAGTTATGAATATTCTCAGCAACAGGATAAAAAACATTTCCAACACAGTATTCCTTAGTCGCATATATCCTAACCATTGTGTAAGGGATACAGCCATCACACGTTGTCACACAGGGAGCAGAATCTCCTGCGAGTTTCAGGTCGTCATATTGAGTCGTCTTCGAAATATTATAACTTCGACAGGTCCGATTTTCAGAAGCGATAATACTTTGAGGTGTTTAAAGGCAAAAACAATACAACACAAATATTCATCAAGCTGGTTCGGTATAAAATACAGAACGTACCATACAAGCGGTTTCGCGCTCAACCGTCTGACGTCATTGAACTTCACTGGGCAGTTTACCATTCATGATTACAATGTTTATATTGACAACTATTTCAATTGATATAGTGTGTCTCCGTAAGTTACCGACAGAGCATTCAAATCAGTGTGTTATTTGAGGCTATGATCTGTTAATTGGAGCAGCGATACTCTTGAGGTTTAACAAGTCCCCTAAAAGATGCTGTAGTCACCTACAATTTCAACCCCCTGATAAGTCATGTTCAAAAACCTCAATCAAAATTCGGTTCTTATATATGTAATTTGCATATATTGAACTTGTACATTGGCTATGCAAAAAGTACTTAGCCAGGTTAACGTAGTTAAAAATAAGGCTTTAAGGCTGATGTCTTTATTAAAATAGCTCACTTGACATATAACATTACAATATTTTTTGTGATCCAACTAAGTAATGAGAAATGACCCATCATTTAAATTATATATATATACCTAGGTTAAGCGGATATTTTTTTTCTCTATTACATGTTATAGCTGTTGAGAGGGATTCGGACCTCAAATAAAGATAGATAATGCCATGCACAACCACTAAATTCATAGTAAAATCCCTTGGTAATACATTTTAGCAATTACCAAATAAGAAAACAAAGTAACCTTGATCAATAAATGAACTTTAGATGATGTGCCATTTGATAACACTCTGTGATTATATCAATGCGCTAGACATGTTAAAAACACTGAAGCTGAAAAGTCTAGCTATTTTATATAAAAAAAAACAGTAAATGTTAAGAAAGGGTATTTTACATGAAGTTTAAGCATTGTTTATGGTCAGAGATCTATGGTTTTACACATATATGCCAGTAAAATATGTTACGCGGACGTTTTAATATGAATGTAACATTCAGTTGAGACGCTTAGCCTTTACGCCGTATTTGGACTTCGTTAACCTGGTTATGTAACGTTTTAATAGCCCATGAACAAGTTCAATATATTTAAATTACATATATATAATCCAATTTTGTATACATGTAAGAATATCTGAAAATGACTTGCCAGGAGTTAAACTTTAGGATGACTTTTACATCTTTTAGATGGCTTGTTGAACCTTAACCGGTGTCACTGATAGGTCAGCAATGTAGAGGAAAGGACCGTTTGTTGAATATTCCCTGTAAATTTTTGTTATTACCAAAATTTGTTACATATAGGGGTTGTCACGTTGTCCATGCATTCCCTTCGTCAATATGCCTATCGAGTACGCGCCAGTATGTGCGGGGCAACTTGACAACCATCAGAATTGTATTTCTGATGTGTCACTCCAATGTAGAGTGGCACGTCAACAACGTATTTCACAGGGTTCTTTACTCGACCTCAGTGACCGAGTGGTTAAGGCGCCTGACCGTCTACGATCACTAGCCCTCCATCCCTGGTAGCGGTTTCGAGGCCTACGTGGGGTTCCGCCAGGTACTGGTCGCAGGTCGGTGTTTTTTCTCCGTGTACCTCGGCTTTCCAAACCCACCAAAACCTGGCACGTCCTTAACTCTTTCCGTACCGCAAGTCCGGTCCGAATTCCGTACCGGATGTCCTTACTAGACTCGCCCCCGCGCAGATAACAAAATGGCGGATAATTAATGTGCTTTTGAGAAGAAGTATAATTCTACATGAATTAAACAGGTAACCTTGACAAATATTGTTATTGTTTCATTTTGTTGTTCATAGACACACTATTTTTCATTTTCGCAACATTATGACAAACTGGCAACTGATTATGACTGTAAAAATCGACATCTGTCCGGCAACAAACGATACGAAACCTTGTATTGAAAACAGAGTTGTAGTGCAGGTTCCCAATATAGATTGATTATGGTTACGAATACGAAATCATTCAGTTTTTGTCTAAATACAAGTAGATTTCATTAAGACTTACATTAAAATATTCATATTAACTTCCATAAATCTCAAT